ATCCTTCTGTTCCTGGTGCAATAAATGAGTTTCAGCAAGGAGACCCCCTCTGCTTAGACATGAAATGCCACTGAACTGCTCTCCTCTGCCAGTCTTTCACCTTTCAGTAGCATTCAGCTTGCACTTACTTCATGGTGTCAAGCAAAGCCAGTCTGTGTGGTGTAGCACACATGCAGCTTCCTTCAGGAGCAGAAATTAATCAGAAACTCATCAGAGCACTCAGGGTTTTTCACAAATTAGTTTCCTGATGTAAGACTCAGTATTTCCATCCCACCTCCAACTAAGGTTTTGGAAGGTTTTTGTGGTGTGGGAACAGGGGTGGAAACAGAGTTATCCCTATATCCTATGTTTGTATCTTAAAAAAAAAAAATAATCTAGATACCAAGTTCAGAAGGTTTTAAGTTCCACTTCAGATTCACTTTAAGACTCCCTCGCACCTCTTTCTACTCTCTCCTTTCAAAGTAACAAATTCCTGATATTTTATTAATAGTGTTCTAAGAAACTGTTGTCTGTTCCTGAGTGCTGTGTGAAATGATGGATGAGTTCACAACACCTGTTACTGCTACATACGTGCAAGTCATTTCCCCCTGCCTGTTTCCCTGAAATCTGTTCTTTTCTCACAAACACTCTGCTCCCATTACCAGTAAATATCTCCTAGATAAGCTTTGTAAAGGTCCATAACTATTTTTTAACTTTCTCTTTGTACACCAATAAGATAGATTAGTGGAAAAAAAAGCTGTACAAGAAATTTAAATTGAAGCTACTTACACAGATAGACCAGCAGATGAAACTCCTCAAGCCATGAAAAAGTTTTATCTTTCAGTGCGGAGAGTTAGCACTAAATGTAAGTCCTAACAAAGCTCATGCTATTTCTATAATTAAGACTAAAAGAGAACTTTTGTGATCCACAACTGTATCCTTCCATCTGCACAGAATTGAGCTTTCCTTTTAAGAAATCCTGGAGGTCACCTGATTGCTCAATTAACCTAAAAAAAAAAGTGTTCTGTACTTACCTCCTCCTGTAGACATTAATTTATCATCAGAAATATTCACTGAAATAATTTTTGTAATTAGTAAGGAAAAATCACAGGAAGCAATTTTATAATTCCTACATTTCATTATTCATCTCCAAATATGGTTTACATTAAATTGTATTCATCTAAACAGAGAACAGAAACATGAGAGACTAATATATACTGATAAATGTAATCAAGGAAGAAAGTTCATATTTGGACATCCATAAAGAAGGCAACATGCAGAAGCTTCTGCTCTCCAGAGCTCCTTTCCAATAAGCTGAAAATCCTGAGTAAAGGAGTAGCAGACACTTAAATGTATTTTAATGCAATTGCATTCTACTGAGATGATAAACATCATGTGTAAAATACATACAAGTAAAAAACAAAACTAACAAGAAATTTTAATAGTGCAGTTGTACCATAAGACCAAACAGGAATTAAGGATCAGCTGATGAAAATGCCTTAATAAATTAAACCTTCTATTTCAGTACTGTAACCACTGAAAAATCCAAAGGGTAAAGATCATCAGATATATCAGATTCTCACAATTTCTTTTACAGAACTACTAAGGAAAAGGCATAAACCTGTATTTTAATGACTTGGTATTGCATATGTGAAATAAAATTCATGAAGGTGGAGAAAATACACTGAAGCATCCAAAATAATTTTAAATGTTTGTGATAGATATGGAGGAACATTGGAATTACTGAAATAGAGAAAAAATTTTAAAGAGTGATTTCCAGATCAAAGAACAAAGAGCTTGCAAATCTCTTCCCACCTATGCAAAGCTCCAGCTGAAACCAACTGGGCTACTCTCAGGACCAGAGAGCTCATGCCTGGAGGGCACCATGCCAAGATCAATGCCACGTTTCCCTGCACTTTAAGTAGAATGAGAATCATGTCCCTCTTTTGATGAGTGCTGAGCTGAGCACATATCTTTTCTGAGTTGTATGAATAATAAAAACAACAATACATCGAGATGGCATAGAAAATAACAAGGAATATGCTGAATTCAGATAAGCAATATCCAAAATGTTACAGGAAAATTACAAAATCATGACTGAGCTCACTAAATTTACACTAAGTTATACAAGTTGGGTAAAAAAGCTCTTTGAAAAGGTCATTTTTAATTTCAGTCAGTCCATTTTCAAGGCTTATTTCTTAATATTCTTATGTGCCAAATGAAATGCCACCTGTGGAAATGCCCATGACAAGAGAAACTCATTTTGACTCCATTTTTGTGGTAAATGGTTGCAAAATAATTTGATGTGCAAGAGTCAAAGGAGGGATTGTTGCCAAGCTTTTGAAATCAGGAACAGTTTCTTTGAGGGACATTTGTTAGAGGGACAAACAAGGGACAATTTCATCACACAAGAATTGGCTAAACAAGAAAGAAACTAAAAGTTTATCAATTAATTATCTTCCTGAAAGATCTGAGACAGAAAAGCATATTTGAAACAAAATTAACTCATCTCACCTTCTCAGGATGAAAACGGGAAGGAAAGAAAGGCAGAGAAAAACAGGGAAATACAAAGTGAGTCTATAATGCTCCAACCACAGCTAGGAAAAGCTGTTCTGGGTGAGGCTGGTGGCTGCCTTAGCAGGGACTTACTCGTGAAAAGTTACAGTTCCAAGCAAAGTAATGAGCCGTGAACTCAGGTACTTCACTGGCACAACTCCTAAGCCTCATTATGGATTCGTTTCACTTGGACTCCAAATGGATCACTGCTAAACACATCGAGCTGCTGGATCACAGGCTGATATAGGCTGTCCTGGAGTTTCCCTAGGAGTTTCTTTTCCCCTACTGGACTACGTATAAAGAAAGGCAAAGCAAGTCTGTCTGGTTATGCACCTGGCATACATTCCTCTGTCCGTGGAGACAAAGTATCAGAAAGGGAAAAATAGAACATTTTTCAGTGACCCTGACATTTGATACTGATGCAAAAAAGGAAAGGAATTACAGTGTTTGAAGCCAAAAGCATGAAGTTTCTCTATATTTCCTATGATTTAATATCTCTCTCCCCCACATACGGCAGATTCCTTTATAGAAGCTCTTGAAGATGGGCCAACAGTGCTCCAGCAATGTCTCCGATGATACAATGGAAAGTTTCTAAGCACAGTATCATTTGCAGCATTTCTCATTTATTTTATCCCCAGTCCCCAAAGACATGTCTTTTCTGATGGAATAAATGTTTCTTTCCACTTTTTATGAATAAAATTGAAAATCTATTTGATAACCAAACGAAATAAAAGAGACAGAGTCCAATTATTTAGCTTTATATGAAATCTGTTTTAAAAGCTGGCTTCCAGCTTTCACTCAGTCTAAACAGATAAAAAATATCAGTGACACTTAAAAAATACAGTACCTGTTTAAGCAGATTTGTAAGTTAATTTTTTTCCAGTGATAAATATGAAGGTAAGAATTTGAGACATCAGACCTTCCCTCTACAGCTTGTCCTCCTTATTAACAGGGCGTCTACAGGAGGGCAGTACTGTGCAGACCAAGTGATAATTCAGGGTTCCTGGCTGTAAGGCCCAGTCACTGCTTGGTTTGCCACACCAGCCCCATTTTCAGACCAGCTCTCAAGCTCTCATCCTAGCCAACAGAAGCAGTTCAGTTTGTGCAGGAGCTAATCTGTTTGCCACTGTATTACCAAAATCTAACCACCATGACAAAGTATATAAAAAGGCACATGCTGTTTTACAGCCCTCTGCAAGTATAAAGAGAAAAAAACTCTCACTGACTTCAAGAGGCTTCAGATCTAGCCCACAGTGGAACAGCTTCACTCTATTTTTCAAGAGAAATGAAATGTAAAATATCATCTGATTATTCAGGCTTGAGTCTGATCTCACAAAGAGTATGCAGACTTAATCTATTGGGCTGGAGCTGCAGAGGCTGTCGGTGGCACTGCAGAGCAAGGCACACTGTGCTCAGGCTGGGAGCTGGCATGCCCTGCCCTTCCTCTGGACAGGGTGAAAGCAGAACCTGACCCACTCCCAGCTGAGCTGAAACATCACCCAGTCATCTGCACAGCTGCCCACTTTTGTAAAAATTGTTTAAAGCCAAACACTTGACAGCCATTTGACATGCTGTGGGTAGGGTTTGTGCCTCACAGCCTTAGAGGTGAGTCCAATACTCTACGTATCATAATCCTGGGATATCAATGTTTAACCATGTTGTAAAGCTCTTTAGTGAGAAAGTAGTATATGCTTTCAACTAAATGGCTACAACCTGGAGCTACTCTCCAGCCTGAAAACTGGGGCAATAAAATGGTTTTGTGTGACAAACTATCGGGAGAGATTTGCTGGTGCTGTTAGTCAGAGTGTAGAATCCCCAGTGCATTCAGAAGCCTCCCTTAAGGAATTAATGCTTGATTATTTTGCCATCCAAAGAGTGTTTACAGAAGCCAAAACAACCATGCTTGCTGTCCACTGTGCAAAGAGGTGATGACATCAAGAAGACAGGTCACAAGTCTGAGTTTATAGACATTACACTCATGTTGGTATGGCTTTTCATCCACTCAGTATGATCTTATGACCCCACAACTTTACAACCTTCCCCTCTCTGGGCTTCATAGCACCTCTCCACTCTAGGTTAATCATTTCTCTGCCATTATCTGCCAACAGTTCTTATCTCTTTTGCTGTCACTTTATAACAGGGTCTCTTATCAAGCTGTACTAAATCACGTGATGGTGCCAAACCTATCACAAGTTGCAATTCTTCTGATTAGAGACTATCATGAAATGGGATACATGGTTTACAGCAGGTCACTAATGCTGGAAAAAGTACAGAGTCCACTCAAAGACATGCTTGTTACTTTCTGAATTCTTGGATATTTTTGTTGTTGTTGTTCATCACGCCGACTTTCACTGAAGGCTATCATAGCCTGGGTCTCAAGGCCAGAAAAGTTTACAGGCTGCACCTCTCCTGTACTCAATGCTGTACCCCTTGTACCCAAGGGTACGGTATATTTACACCTAATAATGTCTTCTGGTTCTCACACAGCCACCATACAGGAATCTATAAAACATGGACTTACATCAGCTGGTAAGTAACAGTTTTCTGTTTTGAAGATTCTGCATAAATATATTAGATTTCTGGGTATCCAAACTGAAAAAATCACTACAATTGGGTGAGTCTATGATTAATTTGCACATATACTTAGGCTAGGGAGAATATTACAATACCATGTAAAAATATAAGAAAACAGATGATGATCCATAGAGTAACAATTTTCTCTAGAGATAATGCAATAATCAAATATATATCATTGGATAATTAACAGTATTTTTATCTATTATGATTGATAATAACTGGGAAATTGTGTGTATGCCTGTAGAAACATTTGCAAAAATTAGATTTAAATTGCTTCTGGCTTGATAATTCATATTGAAGAAAACCAAAGGAATGGTTTCATTTTTTCAGTGATACTCTGGTTTCTGTCAAATGCAGATTCTTTCTTACAGCTGAAAATTAAGATATGTCATTCAGTGGGAGTGGGCTGGGTAATAGAAGTCAGTTAAGACTTCAGAGCAGCAAAGAAGTGAATACTCTCAGTAACATATGGAAACAGCACCCGCTCCCTGTCAGAACGCCATCAGGCACAGGTTGCTCTGGCTTGCAGGCACAGGGGGCATTGCACAGCCAGATGTCCCAGGGTGTCCCAGGCTGTGGTGGCTGTGGCTGAGCCCCAGTGGGTGCATGTCCCCACCACCTCCCTGCCCTTCTGCACACACTTCCTGTCTCAGGCCATTCTGTCTCTCACCACACACCTGGACTGAGGTGTCTTTCCTTTCCCCTGTCCCACCAGGCTGTGCCCAGGCTGAAACTGGGGCCAAGCAGGGCTGCAGAAGGCTTACCAGAGGAAAACTCTCCTTCATGGAGCAGAAGGTGCTCCACAGGCCAAGCTAGCAGCACTGCAGGTTCCACAGCCCAGGGTTTTGCAAAGCTGTGCCTCAGCATTTCCTGGCAGGGATGAAAGAAAGGATCTTTGGCCCACAAGTGGAATCAGGGCACGCTTTCCTCCTCTTGCCCCAAAGTGCGTCATCACAGGGCAGGTGAGGAGTTCACCCTGATGCTGGGTGTGATGTGGGCACCTTGCCATAAAGGGAGGCTTTGGGACCGTGGGGATGGAGAGCACAGCAACAGCTGCAGGAAATAGCCTCAAACATAACTGATCTTTGTCTTCTGGGTAGAGCTGCTGCTTCTCCCAGAGAAGGGCTCCCACCTTGGACCCAACTGTGTTTCACCAGATGTCCCCTCAGAGTCCCTGTGCCTCCCTACAGGTGTGGGGTACTCCTCTGCACAGCTCTGTCCCCAGAAACACATGGAAAAGGTGGCACGTCCAGCTTCCCCTCCAGGTCTTTCTCTAACTTTTCCTCTTTCTGGTTGCCACAGAGGGACCCTCTGGCTCTCTTTCCTGAAGAATAGTAAAATAATTATACATCTCATTTATCTGAAGAGTGGTTACTCAGATAAGGTTTCTTAAGGTGAAAGGATAAAACCCTAGAAGAAGGGAAAATAAGACACTCACCTGTGTTGTTTAGACCAATTAAATGCCATTTTCATGCTTTCCAGAAGACTGGCAGGTCTCAGTTCCCAAACTCATGTGGATATGAGAAGACAGATTGCTACAAGGAGTAGCAGAGACTCTTGTCACCATACCACTTATACATGTGCTGCATCCCAAAAATACCAGGACAGATTCATAAAGCATGGCCCAGAAATAAGCAGGCCTAAATCTTGGGAAACTTTCCAAAATCCTGTGCACTCTGAGTCAGGGGAAGGATTCTGTCCTTCCATGACACTGCTGAGCCAGATCCCATGGTAGCATTCCTGAAAAACTCACCTAACAGCCTTTTGAACTGATCACCATGTACCCGTAAGGGTTAAATGGAACCCACACCAACCTGAGGGCCTCTGCTTGGAGCTGGGGGAACCAAATAGGAAGTAGCCAGATTCTGTTCTTATTTGCACTGGAGAGTAATTCTTTAGGAGAAAAAGCTGTTCTCCCAGGGTAGAAGTACAATCAGCAGCAGGGTCATATGCTTGTACGAGTAAATCCTATCCCCAGACTTTTGATTTTGTCCTGTCCCTCCTGGCCTTCTCCTTCCCTTTTCCCCTTCGAACCAAGGCAGAGTGGGTTGGTTTGTGAGGAGTTGTCACAGCCACTGCACCCTCATCCCACCAGCCCCTCAAGGCAGGGACACTTGCTGCTTCCCACCACAGAGGCTGAGTTGCCCTTGTCAGGGAGCACTTTGTGCATTTCCCTGTCTGGCAATAAGTTAGTTTTTGTTATAAACCACTGACATGTCACAGCTTCCTCCCAGCAAGGAGGGCATCTTCCAGCTCCCATGAATGCAAATCAGACTCCACTGATATAAATAGCAGTGCACCTCTCCCTTGGAGGGCAAACACAACCAGCTGGACTGTGAGTGGGCACTACTGGTTGTTGACACCTGCTTTTAGGTTTATAGTCATACAAACAAAGAGACAACCAGAATTCACAAAATCTTAATAGTACATCTTATCTTCCAGATGACAAACACCATATGGACTTATAAATGCTTTTATGGAAGTGCCATGATTTTTTTCTTCTACCAGATTCTGAGGCAATACAAAGATACTTGACTAGTTTTATTTTTCCTCGAATCAGCCTCTTGTCTTAGAGTCATCAGGGACACTTTGCAAATTTTTATAAGCATTAGCTATGACTATTTAACAGAAATAACTGTTTCATTTACTTTTAAAAATGGTTATATAAGAGGAAAAATAATCTACTTGTAGTTTCCAACTGTGATATTTTTCAGTTTGTAAAATACTTACTGCTGTCTTCAGTTTAATGTGTCCTCAGGCAATTAATCGTATTCAAATTAGGGCTCGTGAATTTGGCAAAGTTAGTTTTTATGTTTAGTAGTAATAGGAATAGTAGCATTTTCATGTGATTAACAAAGACAGTATATACTATCTTTAAAAGTTTGGATCAGGATTTTGGCCAGCATTTATGCAGGCAAAACTTTCAGAGCAGTGAACAGTTTGAGCTTTGTTAGGACTGTAAGATATGCCATAGGTTATTTTCTTATATCATTGGACTTTTGCTGTTACTCTTTTATTAATTTTCTTCCCACTTTTCCTGTCCTCATTTGCTTATACTGCAAATGAGCTATCTACAAAAGGAGCAGTATTTACATTTACATCCAATTTTTTTCTGTTAGTCTGATTTTAAATACCACAATACATGAGGCAAAGATGATGCCTGTGTGAGGGATCTCTCCACTACTGACAAAACGCCTCAAGCTTCTTGTCTGTGAGGGTAATTTAAAGGTCAGCTCTCAAACTTGTCTTATATATATAGGGTGAAAATGAAGAAGTGTCTGCAGGAGGATTTGTGTGCATCTGTCTTGTGGGGAAACCCATTAAAACTTCTCATGACAGATCATTATTAATGTCTAGAGTTTACTCACATATAACATGAGTACATACATATATAACCTTATATATTAATATATATTAATACATTCTTATGTGCAATGAACAGACATGCAAATGTACACAATCCTTATCAAGATTTCTCAAGTGTAAACTATGCCAAGTTTATCTTCTCGTAGTTATTATTTTACATTATGTGTGGATAAATCTTGGGACAGATAGCTGTGTATGGGCTTAAACTTTTTTCATTATAAAGATCAGCTATAAAAAATTATTTTTAAATAGAGTTTTCCAAGCTTTGAAACATGAAGGAAGGGGGAGGGAAGAAGCAGACCTAAACCATCTCTTTTTTCCACCAGCAGATCAAGGTCAATTGCCTCAGCAAAAGAAATTTCATTTTTAAGCCTGTCTGTGCAGGATAGAAATCAATTATCTCTTATGATACAGAGACCGGTGCTCAGCCCTGACGGGAGCCTTGCGGTATATACAAATATATTTGGAGTTCTATTCCTAGACTAAGCTCTAGCTTTTTAACCAGAGGTTCCACACTCGGCTCCAAAAGGGCAGCACAGAGAGAAACAAAATCGCCTCATCAGAACCGTAATGATCAGTGCTGGGAAGGGGCGATGGGATGGCGGCGGAGGGGAGCGTGGGGATGGTCCGGGCAGTCCCTCGGCCGCCGCGGGGCAGCGGCTCCGCTCCTGGGCGCGGAAAGGAGCCCCGCTGATGGATTCGCCTCCCCGCCTCCGGTTGCGGAGGAAGCCGCCGCCCCCGCGGCTGACAGCAGCGATCAGCGAGCGCGTTTCCCCGTCGCACCATTAACGGCAACAGGTCCAGGCAGTGCTGAACTAAAGGCGTTTTCCATACAGAATTCATGTCATTTCGGGACGGGAAGGGGAGGGGGGAATTTCTGATAGAGTCCCTGCTTGCAAAACTGGATCTTTAAGTGTTGAATGAAAGAGACCTGATGATGGGATCGATCCAGGGAAGCCGTACCGCCAGCCCTGAGCACGGCTTACCCCGTCCCCAAGGGCGCCCGGGCATGCCTTAGCCCTTCCACGCCCTCCAGTCGGTTCAGCAGAATGTCGGTCGGAAAGCTGCCTTGCAGCAACAAGTGCCGGCCATCCCAGCCGCCAGGCGTGCGGGCCGCCCCGCGGGAGGGAGCGCGCCCCGAGCGGGCGATGCTCCCCGGGCCACGGCGGGGCCCCGCGCCCCGAGCCGGGCGGGACGGAGCAGACGGCGGCGGGACGCGGTGAAGTGTTACGACACCTCACTGATGACTCACTTACCAATAAAAGAAAGGCAATCAGAGCGATGCTTTACCACCCACTTGGCCCTGCTTGCTCCTCTCTCCGAAGTCTCCTGTCATTCTGCATCACGCTGCTGCCAGGTGCTCATGAGAGCAGTGCATTCCGGCGGGCAGCAGGAGCTTGGCCGAGCTTGAAAAATAGCTTTTCGGTCAATAATTGACCGTTTGGAAATGGCTCTCTATGCCGGACCAGAGCGGAACGACGTCTCTGTAAAGCAAAAATGAATGATTAGCTGTATAAAATGAAGGCAGCAGGCACAGACGTGGTCCTCTGTGGCGTGCGTTTTACTACAAAAGTATTTCAGTCTGAGGCATCCACTCTGTTTTGCTGAGAGTGATCAAAGCCAAACTAAACTAAACAAACAAACAAAAAAGAAAAAAAAAAGGAAAAAAGGAAGAAAAAGAAGAAAATGAAAAAATGAGGAGGAAGTGAGAAGTGTATTTTTGTGTTTGGAGTGGGTTGATTTTGTAAATTAGGGATTTTTTTTTCTGGGTTGTTTGTTGTTTTGTTCTGGTTTTTTTTTAGAAGGGACAGTTTCTTTCCCAAAGCCTGAGTTGGAGGCACTAGCAATCTCCATTTAATGAATCCCAAGGAACTGAATGCAATATCGCCTCGGCAAAATGAGGAGAGGAGAGGAGAGGAGAGGAGAGGAGAGGAGAGGAGAGGAGAGGAGAGGAGAGGAGAGGAGAACTATATTGGCCACGCTTTTCCTGGTGTAAATAGTCTCGTAAAGTTGGGCGTGACAGGTGTGTGAGGTCAAGCAGCAAAATCGCGTTCTGAACTTTCCCAGCTGCATAGGGATCCCGCGCCTGCCGCACGCTGCCTTCGCCGGGGCGCTTCTCGAGGCAGCGCCACTGCGTGCCCGTGGCAGTGACAGCCTGTGCCCGAGGCTGCGTCCCTATGCCGAGGACAGGATGCGTGATACTGACTCCCTCCCCGAGCCTGGCTGAAGTCACTGTTTTCAATGAGTGATCGCTCAGAGCGGCTCTGCGCCGGAGGCAAACGGGAATGTTCAGCGGGAGAGAAAGGGAGACAGGATGAGGATTTCCCTCCTTAAATACTTCCCTTTAAGTCTTTTTGATCGGTTTTGGATTTAGACTTCCCAGAGGAAGAGTTTCAGTCCTCCGCTTATTTATCTATTTCATTTGTTTCTGGGAAGTTTTTCTTGAACATCTACCTCTCCCCCACCCTCCCCCGCTCATCCCACCCCACAAATGTTCTCTTTCGCTACTTTGCTGGGAAGGTAAATTAAACCTTCTCTGGGACACCTCCCGACACAAAGCTGGAAGAGATCATGCTATTTGTTTCTCATCGAGAGGACCACTCCACGCTGGAAATGTCTCTGCTTAGGGAAAAAGACTTGGAAATCTGCTCAGGTTCTGTGCCCTCTTATAGCCGAAGCTATAAGCAATCAGAGCTTGCCTTGAAATATCATCACACAGAAACCTCTGCCTTGGAAACAAAGAGGTGGAAAAGCTGCAGATTATTTAACATCAGAGAGTGGGGTTTTTTTAAATGTAAATGTACATACATTTAAATAGGGAAGTATAAAGTATTCCAGGTCTTGCTCCTTGTACTAATCAAGGCTGCTGGAAGCTCCCCGAGCCATCATCTTTTATAATTATAATTACACGCGTCAATCAAGACCTTCAGGCAAAGTCAGAACAAGGCAGGCAAACTCAGGAGAGAAATCGCATTAAAAAAAAAGTTTGGAGAACTTGGTAAGGAATGGAGAAGAGATTAGAAGAAAGGGTAATTAAGGTTGCTCAAGGCAATCGTGAGAGCTAGAACTCCATGTTAAATTAAATGTAGCCACAAGGGACCAGGTATCATTTATAATATGTAGTGCCCTAAACTGTTACTTCGGAGAAATGTGGATGTGTAATAACCACTCCAAAGTATTTTCATCCATAGCGATAGCTCGCAGAGTCACTTTGCCATGTACAGTTGGAACTCCCTCCAAACAATTCCCTGGCAGAATGACACTAAGCCCCCGAGTAGGAGGGAAGAGCCCGGGACCGGTGCTAGGGCCGCGCCCGCGGGGGAGTGCTGCCGGCTGGGGCGCTTAGCCGCGGTGCCCGCGGGGGCCGTAGCCCGCCTGAGCCCCGCAGGTTTCGGGCTGGTTTCGCCTGCCCTGTCCGGATGCGGCGTTTCTTTTCCCGGCTTTTCCCCAAAACGCAGCTGCCTTCCCGGAGCAGCAGTAACGAGAGCGGCAGCACGGAGCGCCCCGTCGGGGAATCGCCAAGCGGCGTGACCCACCCGGCGGCGAGAGAGAGGGAGGGGACCGGTTGTCCCCGATGGAGCCCAGCGGGCTGCAGGACCCAGGTCCGCAGGTGTCCTGATGGTCTACTGTAAATGCGCTTGGAGCTGTGCCCTGAGGACTCTTCTCCTGCGGGGAAGGGCTGCGAGGAGATGCCGCTCCTCTGCGAGCCGCCCGTCGGGCCCGGGCGGCCCGGCCGCAGCTCGGAAGGCCGGAGGGCCGCGGCCCCGCCGCGAAGCGGAGGCCCCCGACCCGCAGCCCTCTAGGCGGGCGCCCGAGGGAGGGAGCGGAATCGGCGCTGTGCTGCTGTCTCCACCAGTGTTGAGCCGCCCAGCGCAAGGCGATGCTACACGGTGGCGCCTGACAGAGTGAATGTTTGTAACTAATGCACCTGGGAATAACTTCCCAAGGGCCGAGACAGGGTCTTAACACGAGCTACTTCTGCCTAGAAACGGCATCATTCTCTCTAGATGGTTTTCAGCCAACCCGTCTTAGCCGTCGAACTGCTCGGTCCCGCATCTCGCCATGTTGCTGTCCTAAAACTTATTCACAGAGGACCTGTTTAATTGTGAAACTATAACTTGAGAAATAACGTGTTGGTATCGTTCGCCCGCTCGTGCTCCCGCCCGAAGGCGAATGGCGGAAGGTGAGAGTGGAAGAGACAGAGAAGTCCGGGCCTCTCTGAGCGTTGGATCCATCCCCCAAATATCAAACGCTGCACAGAGAAGGGAAAAAGACTTCTTCTACTCCGGTGGTGCTGATGTTGGGTTGGCTAGGAATCTGCGCTGAGTTAGCAAAGGTGTCACAGCTACTGGTTGCAAAAAGTTAAGAGCACAGCCGAGTTCGCCCTGTGCATGTGGAGCGCCTGTCCCAGCGCGGGTTCACCCTGCGATCATCAGCACTGCTGAATACATTACAACAACAGCCAGTTTTCACTATGACTCTCCCAGCCGATGGGAAATGCCATACTCCGCGATGGAGACACTTCCGCGCCTCACTTTCCATCGGAAGCAGTTTTCACCGCCAAACATTTTCAGCTTCTCCAACACTTTATACAGATTAAAGAGTCAGAGGAGAACGGGCAACTGAGTGCTCGGACGAAGGGCTCGGATGCTTTCGAAGGTGCAAATATCGCTCATCCCACACCATCAAACCTATGCGGCGCAGTAGGAACGGCGCGGAACCCCCGGGCCCTCCCGGAGAGCGGGGCGGAAAGGCCAACGAGGGCAGGCAGACCTCCGGCCCGGCTCTCCGGGCGGTCGGTACCCAGTTGCGCCCGGAGCCCCCGCAACGCCGCGCCGCGGGACCGCTCGGCTCTCGCCGCTGAGGCACACACTTGCGAGAAACGAGTTCTTTAGGACAACTTGGAAAATAGTGCCGCTTGCTGCACTGTGAGCCAGGGAAGGGGGGCTCAAGCGATGGCTCTGCCAGGGCTTTGGCTTCTGTGCAAGGGAAGAGACTAGCACTAACCGATTTCGCACGACGCTTAGGGAAGGGAGACCCAAAAAGCCTGAATAAGCACAGCGAGCTCCAACACGGTTCCCGCTTGCTTATTTCAGACTCCAGGGCTGCGCGGCGGCAACGTGTCCGCAAGGGCAGAGGTTTCCGCTGTCCACCCCCGCCCGCCCAGAGGGAAGGCCAGGGCCGGGGTCTCAGCGACTGGCGCTGGCCGGGCGGAGGCATTGCCCCACCGGCCCCACGAGAGATTAAGCGTGGCTGCCCACTGGCAAAGAGGCACGGCCGCTGAAGGCAGTGCAGGCGTAGCCCGGCTTGGTGAGGCTGGTTGCCCGTCGGGCTCCGCTGGGGCTGGAAGGGGAGGCAACAGCCCAGACCCTCACACCGCAGCCCCGTTTAAGAACCGGGCAGGGGTGACTGCACTGGGCCACTGTGTGTGCGCGCTGGGGGTGTTGCTCATCCCGCCTCTGCCTCATTGGCTGCAGCGGCGGTGTCGGGGCCCCCCTCCACCGGAGTCCTCGCTCCCCACAGCCCCCGGGCTCCCGGAGCGCCTCCCCGCGGGCCCGGGGCTAGAGGTCCCGACTCGGCACCTCCGCACTTGTACCGGGGGGAAAAGGGGGAGGAGGAGGGGGAGGGGAAGGAGAAGGAGGAGGGAGGGAGGAAGGGAGGAGGGGGACGGGGGTGGGAACCCTGGCCAGCAGCACCAGCGGCGGCAGAGTGCTCCTGTGCACTGTGCCGCTCCGCATGGATCGGGGCGCCGGGCTGCCGCCGTGCTGAGCCCCGGGCGGAGCTGCTGCGGGCTCCCGGGGTTCCTCCTTCCTCCCCAGCACCCCCGGTCTTCCTCCTCCTCCTTCTCTCTCCTCCGCCTCCCGCCGCCTGCAGCTCGACTACCACTCCGCGGCTCCCTTAGCCGCGGGCACCCGGCGGCTCCTCCCGGCGGCCGGGGCCGCTCGGTACTCCCGCTGCAACTGGGCAAGGGCTGGCGTGGAGCAGAGGGAGGGAAAAACAGGAAGAGGGGGAAGAGGGGAAGAGGCAGCAGCCGCCGAGCGCCCCTTGCTCCAGCTAAATCTGTGCTGCCGTGTCCAGGTGCTGGTGTCGCGGACGGACACGGAGCCCCCAGCCCGGCTCGCAGCCGCCTTGTCATGCTACCCAAAGTGGAAACGGAGGCCCTGGGACTCGCCCGGTCGAATGGGGAACAGGGGCAGATGCCGGAAAACATGCAAGGTAAGGGGGGAGACGCAGGGCGCTCCCCTTCCGCGCACGCTCGGGTTTCCCTCGGCAAAGCGCCGCTTCGTCCTGCCAAAAAGTTTGCGGCAGTTGCTTGCGAGCTGCCCCGTCACCGCCCGCTCCGCACCTCGCCGAGCCCCTGCTTTCCCGGGCCGGCTTTCAGGGTGGCTCGATCGAGTACAGGGGGCCGGGGTGCCAGGGCAGAGGCGACGACAAAGCCCTGCTCAGAAGGTGCAAACGGGGCCGAGAAACTGCCAAGCATTTGGCCGACGCGAGCCTATCCTAGGGTGCCGACGTCCCGTCGGACGCTGCCTGGCCCCGCTGCAGATCCAGGGGATCTCGGTCTAATCCCCATTCCACGCAAAACTGCCTCGAAGTTTATGGCATGTGGAGGTACGTGTGGAAGTTCTGGCGAGCACCCCGTGTGTCACACACTGTCCCGAAACGGGACCCGAGGGCTCTGTCCCGCGGGTGCGGCGCCCACAGGTACCGTGCAGGTGGTAGCGGCGGTGTCGCGAAACTTCGCAGGAGAGAGCTCCGTGGGGGATTTGCGGGGTACCCAGGAAGGTAAAGGGATGCCCGAGCTGGGATGGCGCTGGAAATGTCTGTGTCGGGTGGCGGGACCGGGCTGTTCCCGGTGCCGTCCTGGGGGCCGGAGCGGTGCGCGGAGGGAGGCGGTGCAGACCCCGCCGAGGATCGGCTCCCTGCCTTGGAGCCCAGTATGGCCGCCCCGCCCCGAGCGACTCTCCCGGGGCAGAATCTCCCGTCCCGGCTGCTCTTTAGAAACTGTCCCCTCTCCTCTTGGGAGCCTGCTGGGAAGTAGAGGCAGGGTGGGCCGGGAGTTTCGGAGGTGCTGGGAGCGACCCGACCGCCCCTTTTCTCTCCTGTGGAGGATGCTCCGTGCAAGGGCGCGGCGCTCGGAAAACCCCTGCTTTCCCAGTCTTTCCTACGGGGGGGGGGGGGGGGGCAACCTCGTCCCAGACCCTGGAGCCGCGACCGCGGGAGCAGAGGGGAGGGCCGGGCCCTCCTCCTCCTCCGCCTGCGGCCGCCCCGTGTCCGCCCCACGCCGCTGACAGGAGGCGATCCCCGGCTGTGCCGAGGTGGCTCAGGAAACGTTTTGCTGGCAGTGTGAGGCGGGATAATGCTCCCGGGAGCTCCGGGAGCTCCCTCGAGCGCCGGGTGCAGCCTCTTGCCTTGGCAAGCAGGGCCGGGGGCTTCGGGCCGAGTCTGGCCGCCCCGTTGCCCCCGAACTGTGGCAGCCGCAGAGTTAAAGACAAAGAGGCGACATCCTAAGCGGTCCAGCGGCGATGCCCAGCGCCTCTCGCCGTGTTCAGGAGTCCTCCGCTGCCACAGTGCTTTTCGAAAAGGTCGGAGGTTCAGCGGCAGGGAAGGGGAAGGAAACCGGCCGTGCACTGAGCAGCAAGGTTTCTTCTTAGAAGTAACCGGAGCGGCTGATTGGGCTCCTTGTGAGGGTAGCCCGGCTCGAGTGGGCACGCTCCGGGCATTCATTCCGCTTATTTTAGCCCCTCTTTGCCTCCTCACCGCCGGCTTCTCCCCGAGCGGCAGAAACTTCAGGCGGCGCCGGCGTGCAGGGGTCACGCCAGCCCCCGTAGCGGGGGACGCCGGGTCCGCCGGCCGGGCAGACCCTGAGCGCATCCCCCGAGCACGGCGGTCCCCGCTCGTGTCTCTCTGCCGACACGGGAACAGCTAAAAAGCGTTTCCCCCGGACCGCGGAGCCGCCGGCTGCGACAGCCGGGGGTGCCCGCGCACAGCAATTGCCCGGGCCCGCAGGGGTGGCGGTCATGCCGAGGCGACGGGCTTGGGAGGCGCGGAGGAGGTGGTTTTAACCTGGTTTTGCGAGTAACTAACCTGGATTTCACACGCTGCAAAAGTGCTGGGTCTGTGAGATTCAGCTTTAGTCTAGCTAAAAATTTGCGGGCTGATATTGAAAGAAAACTTTAATGGAAAATAATTACTTTCAATATACACGTGACAATCTTTTCGTTTTGCTTTTTTAAAGCTTGCACCTGATCATTTTCGGATTTAAATGAATTCTTTCAGTTTGTGATTCCATAAAATAAGGGCTAGGCTAAAGGCACTCTATAAGTATAAATACTTAGAACATAAAACTTAGAAGCTGGTTTTTACTACACTTGCTAAGTACCATGCAGATTTGCTGATGATGGGAAGTTGAATGTCTCCATGAAATTTGTTTTTTTAAATAAAACCTTTTTCTCCCTATTTTCAGTGGTGTGCTTGTTTAAGTAAGCTTTGTCTCTAGATGAGAAAGTTGCAGAATATTTGAGTTAGTAATGTAAATTCTAATTGAATATGCTATTTCTCCTTTCCCCCAGTGTCTCAGTTTAAAATGGTGAATTACTCTTATGATGAAGACCTTGAAGAGCTGTGTCCAGTCTGTGGAGACAAAGTGTCTGGGTACCATTATGGACTTCTCACCTGTGAAAGCTGCAAGGTTCTGTACTAATCAGTCCATAAAAACACAAGTACAGCAAAAATGTTTCAAATACATGCAGAAAAAAAGGATAATAAATAAACCAGATGTATAATATTTTTGGTTATTTTTGATACATTTCTTAATATATTCACATAAAATAATTAACCTCCAAAAAGCTTTAGGATGTAGAAGTCTCTTTGAGAGAGACATCTGCACAAATGCAAACAACTTGGACTGTTTTGCTTTGTACTTTTGTCACTGTTTTTTAGTATTTTGCTATCGTGATGTAGTTCTAGAACAACTTTCGTTGTTAACTGTGCTAAATACTGGTTTTAGTTGATTTATATTTCTTTTTCTGGAAGATAAAGTAGGAAGATTATGCTTCATGCAGATCAGCTTTGTAAAATCTAATGGAGCTTTCTTAGGATTTTTGTTTTCATTCTTCACTATTGCAATGTCAATCTCTGTGATTATAATGACCATGCACTTTTTTCATGCAAACTCTAACTGTCACTTTGACACACAAAGTCAAGTAACCAATTAACACATAGAAAGATGAATATACCTGTGTTGGTCTGTTGTGCTATAAGGTTTAAATAATTGTGAATTTATGTCAGATTTTTCATGTAAAAATTTTCAGAGGGTTTTTACTGTTATTTAAGCAGTGCACTGTAAGTGAAGCTCCTTTGCCAGAACAATGCAATTTAAAACACTTAGTTGCATGGAAAAATTAACTAAGCCCACTATATTTTCACTAAAAAAAATAATCAATGAGAAGTGAATGACAAGCACTTACTATGCCTCCAGCATGTCCCACTGGGATGTAAAATAGCCAGAGGTACTCTGTACTACTCTTATCTTTGCAACTACTTATTTCATGTAAAACTACTTGAAAAGGAAGACTTTAATAATTCTGCAATGATTCAAGAATGCAAAAGGAAGCGGTCAGTGTCACTATTTCTGCCACTGGTGTTAGAAGCACAGAAGGCTACAGCCTCCCTAAAGTCTCACCTAGCTTTGACATTAAGTCTATAAAACACAGCACTAACACAAGAAAACCTCTGGAATCTGGTGGTTATCTCCTGGGCTCAGGTGGCTAATTTAAAATAAACTATATAACTTTGTAAGTGCTTGAATGGCTTCTGAAAATTATCTTACAATGATTTCCATGAAATGCTAAATGAAACACACGTTCAAACAAAACAGGCTAATTTTTGTGTCTATCATACAGGGATTCTTTAAGCGAACAGTCCAGAATAACAAAAGGTACACATGTATAGAAAATCAGAATTGCCAGATTGACAAAACACAGCGAAAACGATGTCCTTACTGTCGATTTCAAAAATGTCTAAGTGTTGGAATGAAATTGGAAGGTAAGAGCTATAGTCTTGTTGATATCTTCAACTATACTATAAAATTATAGGATAAGATGTTAATGCATTGTATTTTATATTAAAAAGTTATATAGTTATGGCTTTGAAATGTTAATAAAAGATTACTTTGTACGGTCAGTGAAATTGTTGCTTTATGAAAAAAATCTAATAAGTAAATGGTAGATCACTACCTTTTCGGAAGCAGTCAAAACCATAATCCATTTTGTCATATAAGTATATAGTTTGATATTTCAGGCTTTTCAAGTTTGTGAATTCATGGATGTAGATTGAATAATTTTGCAGCTTTTAAAAAAGACTTAATTTAGATTAAATATAAAACAACTGTCCAGATTAGAAAAAAAATACTCATTTGCTATGGAGAGTGATCTGATTTTATTTGTATTTTATCTAGGGTTGGGTTGTTTTGATTTTTTTACATATGTTCTTCTGACATCAAGGCAGAACACAAAGAAACAGATAAAATAAGGGTTTTTCTCAGATTGACTTGCCTTTGAGATTAAGGAGCCAAATAATCTCTAAAGTTGTGTCCTATATTTTTGTGATGCTACACCTGCAAGGCTGTTGTGATTGAAAGAGGATAAGGCATTTTGAAGTACACTTTTTTGCTTCATTTCACTTTCTCATCTACAGAGAACAATGAAAAGTGTACAATACCCTTTGAGATAACCGAATGCAAAAATATCAACTTGAATTTGTGAATCATGCATGGTTCATTCTAACTTTGATATATAAAATATTAAAATTCAGATTTCACAGCAGATGACATTTTTCCTTGACCAAGGACAATCTCCTAAATTCCTTACTGTTACAACCGTATGAAATTACATTCACCCTAGACACTTAACCAGAAAAAAATCAGGCCAAGGAGGAAAACTGTAAGCCATGAAGGGAACCAGAAAGGACAAGAGGCAGTCACCAGGCTCTGGCAAAGGGAAGCTGTTGATATAACTGAAGATAAACAGAAAAATCAGCCTCCTGCAGTTTGATTGATTCAATAGTGTTGTATTTGCCCACAAGACTGAGCTAGCACTGACACACTGCACTAAACATCCTGAATCATTGTATGTGCTTCCAAATTCAAATAGTACAATTACAGGACATGTGGAATCCTTTTATCATTGCTGGCATTAAGAAGAAGGATAAAATACATTTGTCTACTCCTACTTTCAACTACTCTCACTTGCTGACAATGATACAAGACTAAACTTTGTCTTCTGTGATTACACGTAGTTCACCTTAAATTTAAGTGGGACGTATACAAAAGCACTTGCTAATTCTATTTGGCTCACAGTTTTTAATTGCAGAGTACCTGTGAGGATACTGTGTATACAGATTTAAAATTAATTACACTGACTAGTGATAAAATTAATTTAATGCATTTTGTTAAAAGTCAGCATTCAGAAGTAATATTGGCAGCTCATTTTTCCTACAAATTCAAGCAAAACATCTGTAGTTTTAAAGGGACTGCAGAAAATGTACTTTAGCTTTCTTATCTACATATCCATACAACTTCTTTTTCACTGTTTAGGAAATTGGAAGAACATGTGTTCTCCTAATTGTAAATACTTCTGACATTTATATGTGTATTTCCCTGATAGTGATATATAAAGCCTTAAAAGTCGAGTTCATAAATTACCATGGACCAAAAAATCATTAAGCGTTAAAGTCCTTACGCGATAAGGTACAGTATTATGCGTATCTAGCATTCATAATAAATTTTTAATGTCCTACTAATCCCTAAGATAAAAAGCTCAAGAACTTAACCTCCAGCAATCTCAGCAGTCTCAACATGTCACCAGGCTGTCAAAGGTTCCTCTTTCAATCTAATTGCCGTTGGGCAAGGTGGGCTTGGTGAAAGCTCCGCACTAGTCCATCACATATATCCCACGGTGACAGACACTGCGGTGACAGAGACCACCAGTATGACTCCCAAGGCAGCTGTTAAGTAGGATTTGTTTTAATTATTTCTAATTCCAGAGATATTATAAGCCAGAACAGTGTCAATAGTTTCTGTTTCACTTCTATCTTCCACGTAGAAGGCAGCAAGCTGACAGCTTTCTCTCTGCACATTCCAACTGCAGCTAAACATTTCCATAGAGCTCAGCTAACTAGAAATCTCAAAGTTTTACACCAACCTGGACACAATCATCAAAAGGAAATGCTTCCCTTTTGCCAAGAGAAATGTATTCCTCTTTGTGACTACTGAACATTTCACAATTTACATTTCAGATGTTTTGCTGCGGTGGAAGGCAGTAATGGAATGATTATAATGAGACAATGTGGTCTGCTGGATACGTCTCAGACAAATTCTGGACTTCAGCCCTTGTTTCTTAATGACATAGTAGCTTGACATAAACCCAAATGTACATTGAGATTTCCACATGATCCCATAGCAGGTGTGAAATTCCTGTAGCCATCCATTGTGTTTGTCCCTGTGTCCTAATCAATGTACAGAGAAGTCCTTCTTTTTTAGTAATATATGCATGTGACATTTAAATCACTAGAAAAAAGTGACATTTGTTAAGTCAAAATAAATCCTTTTCCTTAGGAAGAAAAGTGCAACTCTGAATTTGGAAAAAAATAGTTAAATTTTTACATTTCTGCTCCTTCCTAATATCTGTTTGATTACAAATGTCAATTCCAACTGTTAGTAATGATTTACTTGCTCCTTTCCCCTGACAGCTGTGCGAGCTGACCGAATGCGTGGCGGTCGAAACAAGTTTGGACCAATGTACAAGAGAGACAGGGCATTGAAGCAGCAGAAGAAAGCTCTTATCCGAGCCAATGGACTGAAACTGGAAGCCATGACTCAGGTGATCCAAGCAATGCCAACCGACCTGACAATATCCTCTGCAATCCAGAACATCCATTCAGCTTCTAAAGGCCTACCTCTGAACCATACTGCCTTGCCTCCCACAGACTATGACAGGAGTCCCTTTGTGACCTCTCCCATCAGCATGACAATGCCACCACACGGCAGTTTGCAAGGCTACCAAACCTATGGCCACTTTCCAAGCCGTGCTATCAAGTCTGAGTACCCTGACCCTTACACCAGCTCACCAGAGTCAATAATGGGCTACTCATACATGGATAGTTATCAAACAAGCTCACCAGCAAGTATCCCACATCTGATATTGGAACTCCTGAAATGTGAGCCTGATGAGCCACAAGTCCAAGCTAAAATCATGGCATATCTGCAGCAAGAGCAAGCCAACAGAAGCAAACATGAGAAGCTCAACACATTCGGGCTTATGTGTAAAATGGCTGACCAAACCCTCTTCTCCATTGTTGAGTGGGCGAGGAGTAGCATCTTCTTTAGAGAACTTAAGGTAGGTAATAATTTTACATTATATTATCATTCAGTCAAGAAAAAAATACTATTTCATACAATCTTGTACTTCAAGCAGGAAAGCATGAGTTTCGTTTTCTCCCCCCCAAGCATCTCATTCTTTATTTATTTGGCTTGAAGTAGGCAGGCTATTAGAAGGGAAACTTGTTGCTGACTTCCACCTGAGTCTGTAATTAGCTGTAGCAAAGAGATTCAATATTCAGTTCAGCTTTTCTGTACTTCAATATTTATCACAACTATTTTTAACATCCATAGGGCCTCACATAATCCTACTCCTTCCCTGTCAGCATCACTCACTGTCTGGCTTGTACTCAGGGCTGTAAGCATACCTGTTCCACCATTCCATATTGATTAGTGTAATTATTTCATTACCTTATTTAACATATGGGGGAGTGCCATTTCTGTCCACCTCCATTCACTTTATATAAGTCCATATTTGGAAAATTCAGTTTCTCAATGGGATATTATTTTATGCATTCCCGTGTCTTATTAACCATGCAGGCTGAAACCTAAGCAGGATACACATGGAACAGAAAGCAATGAGGAAGTAGATACCTCAAGGACTCCTTTTGATTCTCATCACCACTGATACGTGAGGGATTCCTTTAGTCTAGGCTGCTACAATGCTCTTATTTTTGCTGGAGCACCCAGGAAATCCTCATGCACAGCTTTCTGGTGGACAGAAATTCACCCATTTATGTTTTTCAGACTTATTGTTAAAGCAGCTTTGTGGTCTGAAATTTCAAATCAGAAATTTTAAGCCAGAAATTTGAGATCAGACAATAGGTATGAACTACAGTTTTTAACCACTGTTTCGATACAAAAATCAGCTCTGGAAAGAATAATCTTCAGTCTCAAAAAAACCCTCAAAATGGTGAACTAAACTCACATCTGAGTTTCCCTGTTACATTGCTAGTTACTGTGTCTGTCTGCTACCGAGAGATGTTTTTGCCACATTTGCTATTGATATCTGTAAAGTTTTGTGACTGCCTGTAATTTCTGACTACTTTAAAACTAAGAGAAAATAACTCAGCTTCCAAATATAACAATTACTGTAGGATTTCACTGAGAATTGAATCTACATGAGTTAAGAGCACAAAAGGGAGATCCATTGAAAAGCTGCACTCAGAGAGCTTGCCACAACAGCATGTCTGTCATGACCATAAGGACATGGACACATCACATAAAGCCAGATTACAAGAAAAGCAAGCTGTATATGCTGCATATGCAACTCCAGCTTCTTGCCTTTTTTTTTTTTTTTTTTTTTTTTTTTTTTTTGTGAGAATGATTGCAGGAATCACTGAAAGCTCAGTCTATTCAAAGAGAAAGAAGAGAGGAAGTTTACTTAGAGAGGAAAACCAAATGCATTAAAGACAGTAAAAGACTCGCACATGTTTGCTATCTCAGTTGTATACAATTTTGTAGTCAGCTATAAGCCATGCTACTCATTTTAAATAATTTAAAACTTGAAATTAAGAACATGTTATATTTCCAGTAGACTATGTGGCAAATATCTGAGACCAGATCTTTCTCTCCATACACTGGGGTGTATTTTAGTCTAGAGTAAGGTACTCTAGAGTTAAAAGTGACTGTCCTGTATATACCTTTCAGTGTACAAACTTTTAAGTTAAAATCTGCCCTAAAATTTCATTTATGATTAAAGTGACAAATTTTATAAGCATTCAACATGCTATACTGGGAACAGTTTTAAAGATGGCCTTCACCTCCAACTTCAGCCTGGATTATGTTCTTCAACCAACCTATATTTACTAGTACGAACACAAAATATGCAGAAATTTGTTTATGAAAATGCTGACCAACTTCTCCTGGTTCTGGATGTATTATACATTACCATGTACACACAAGCTTCTGGAAATACACATATTCTAAAAATTTGCTAGACGGTGTCTTTGGCTTATGAACTGATTTTCACACATTTCTAGAAGGCATTGCTTTCACCTTAGTGTTTGTACCCTTTGTATCTGGGAAGCTTCGAGGCCAGACAGTTTCACACCTTCTGGTATATCCAGATTATTTTTTTTTAGATGGACAAGATCAACAAAATTGCACAGCATTCCAGAACAATAACAACTCATTAAGAAATCCATCCACATCCAAAATTTAGGGACCAGACTATACACAATGCTAAGAACTTTAACCTTTTCAGTGTCAAAAGTATGTTTAGATCAGACCCAATAGCACTGGGTAACAAAATCTCTTTTCCGTTGAGAGGACAAGAACAATATTAAACAAAAGATTTCCAGACCTGTCTTGAATGCAGTTCTCTTCTATCCATTCACGATTTCAGGTTCTTCAGATCAAGGTAGCAAAAACAGATATTTCAGATTGCTCCACAGGACATGAATACCTGTGGGGAAAAAAAAAGCCACCTAAGACTATGACATATTTTAAATGCAGAAGGAAAGGGAGACAATTGTGATAAAAATGCAATTAGATTTTCAGAACAGTTAACTTTGTTCCCTATCTATTCACAGCTGAGAAGTAGGTATTTGCTCAAAAATATATTTTACTCTTATTCCTACCTGTCTAAGCAATGGAATATTGACATGTCTTTCAGATAAGACAGGTACAGTAGCAGATTTCTGGGACTAAAAATTTAAATTATTCAAATAATTAAATAGTACAAAATTGTAAATGTGGTTTGTATGCAATTCATCTTGGCTTTGTCATGATGAGCGATGCCTCGCACAACTGGCTGTTAGTTACTAGGAGCATGTCTACAATTATTTACTGTATCTTTTCATCATAAATTTTGTCTTACACCCTTGTCTCTTCAATTAATATAAAGGAGCAATCATTTTCCTTTCTGCTAAATGTAGAGATTTGTAGTTAGCAGAATTCAGGGGGAGGATATGATAAAGAAATGCTGTCCCAGTCCATCAGTGGTTTAGGCCACAATTACCCTAGAGATAATAACAAAAACCCACCACTGAGCTACAGCTTTTAACTTTCCCTTATTTCTTCCCTTTTGTCTGCAGATTTGTTTTGTTTTTTTTTTTAAGAAATCTCAAATGAAAAAAAATCTGGTTTAAAATTTTATTTTCTGAAGCTTTCACCAGTTTAAGCTTTACACAATCTTCTCACTTGTTGATCTACAGATTTTTGTTGCCTCTTCTGGAATATGTTACAATTTGAGGATGTAAAAGGGAGAAATATGGACTGTGTAGAACTACCCACAGCATGCATTGCATTGGAATATCACCTGTGTATGGATTTGAGTATGTAATTTAAGGGTAATTGTCACACCTGCTGGGGAGCACATCCTCTCATCTTCATGTAGGATATCAGAAACTAATGGAAAAATTAAAGAAGCCAACTAGTCAGGATTAATAATAATGTCAGAGTAAGATCCAAAGCAGCCAATTGCAATCCAGTAAATTTGAATTTAACACCTGCTAAAATCTCAAACATCCCTACATGTCTTGTGAAGTCAGAATACTTTGTAAGGCATAATTAAGACATAAATTCTGGGGGTTAATGTTACATATTACTTTTTTATTCATAATGAGATATATTTCTGTTTGGTTCTTTATACACGGATGAAATAATACAGAGGTTACATCCCATAAGACTCAGGATAATAGTAATAGTAATAACAGTAGTAGTAATAGTAGTAATAGTAATAGTAATAGTAATAGTAATAGTAATAGTAATAGTAATAGTAATAGTAATAGTAATAGTAAAGAAGGCCTTTGTTTGCTATTCTGGAGTTGTTGAAAGCTCAGTAAATATAAAAGTAAGATATATCCATCTTATCCTCAGCTAAGAAAACTCAGGAATGCCCTGGGGATGCTAGATTTGTCGCCAGCTGTCTTAGTCAGGTGAAAGGTCTTTGTACAAAGCTAAAAAGAAAATATTGCAAGAGTTTCTAGAGTCCAAAGGCTGCCTGGCCCCAAGGAATGATGCAGACAGCTTCTCCGGACTGGTCTTTCCTCATCAGCCCACATCAGGGAAAATTCAAAGACTGCTTCCAGAGCTAACTATTACTGAACCCATAAAAGAAAGCAGTCTCTGCCTGGAGCAGGAGAAAAACAGGACCTGCATTGAATAACAGTCCTCAGGATACTTTCTTCTGGCTGAAGATCAGAAAAAATGAACTGAATGTTAATAGTTACAAAAGGCACTAAAAGAATAGTGACTCACAAAAAAAACTACCTTTCCTTATTTGGCTATTTTAGTGAGGATGTCATAGGTCAAAGTACCATGTGAGCACAAACCTTGTAGTGAATGATTGCAGGATGAACCAGTGCACTTCATGGTAAAGAAGCTCATCCTACAATTATTCACCAAGTTTGCAAATCTACACTATTCACTGATGTCAGACTGTGTCAGTCCCAAGCCAGATTTCTTGCTGTAAGTGTAAATTTGCTCATGCTTACATTAGCTGTAGCCTTCAAACAAACAGTTGTTTATCACATATCTCCAAAGGAACCTGCAAGTCTATAGAACTTGCGCTATACATGGCACCACAGATATTTTGGCTGCTCATAAACTAACAAGGGCCTAGCTTTGTGTTACATATTCCCCAGAAGTGAAACTATATTATCAGAGTTTCAACTTATTTCTGTAAGTGCAAACTTAATGTGAATAGGATTAACAGAACTCCTGGAGGCTCTTAATTTCTTCTGTGAAATCAATTTACATAGATGTAATAATGTAATTCTTATACACCAGCTTTAATTTCAAATTTCAGTCCATATGTAGTTGAGTACCAAGGAATGCATAGAAAGTAAGGAATTATACAATGGAAATCCAACAATTAAATTGAATTAGCACAGAATAGCAAAAAATAGTTTTGGGTTCTGTTGGAGTTTTTTTTTTTTGAGAAAAAGATCAGCATTGAAATACCTTAAAAATTTTCAGGATGATGAAAGGTTGATACATTATTAAGGCTTAAGTAATCAAGTGCAATTTGATAACTTGAAGTGCTTTTGGACTTTGTAGTGTGTGTTTATCAGG